ATCGGGTTAATTCTCACCAATTTCGGATAATAAATGCGACCTGCATTTTGTTGTTTTGGACTGACATGAATAAATCTGCTCAGAAAGTGATTCTATAAAGATCCTCAAAAGTAACTGTGTGTCGATCTCGCTTCCTTCTTCATGTTGGAAACAAATGCAGAACGCATAATACCCTTACCACTACGTTGTGCAGGGTATAAAAAATAGCCTAAATCAGGTTGTACCATTATAAGAGGTCTATAGCAAATCGTAGTCCAATGTGTTCTATTTAAATAAGTCCTAACCTAAAAGAAATTGGAGTGAAATTTTGTCTGACGGAAGGACGGACTGGGCTAAATTGGCATAGAAGCTTGCAAAGATACAAAATATATACACTTTGTGGAGTCTAAACTGACAATTAATTAGCATAAATCGAAATTTGATTTTTTAAAAATGTGTTTTTTAGAAGCTATTTTTGCGTGAATTATGTGGATCTCTTTCACGAACAAGATGTTAAGCAGTAAAGTGTTTTGCAAAATATATCCTTCAAACAAAAAAAAAAAAAAAAAAAAAAAAAAAAGAGAGAAGAGAGAAGAGAAAAGGAGACCTTAAAGCATACTTCTCAATATATTTTATTATAAAAAGCCTTTTTTCAGAATTTTTTGAACCCTAATAACATTTCTATCATCAATTTTGCTGGTAATTTTCTCAACCGACTGCAAAAGAATGTTGACTTTAATTTTTCATTTGATTTTATTGCTAGTTTTCGGCCAAAACTCTTGTCCAGTCGAATTTGAAACCTACTTTTGTTTCGCAGACCAAACACTTCGTCACAGTTCCAGACACACTCATACACACACATACGTTATTAATATTATTTTCCACATTGTGGTCACTCACTCATAATCTCTGTGTGTTTGTGAGCACAGAGTGACACCAGAATAGTGTTGTGGTCATAACTTTTATAAAATATACCAAAAAACTAGAAAGACAAAAAATAAACTAAAACGATTTTCTTTATGTAAAAATCTATATGGAATACAAATTTTTCACATGTGGTATTCATTGTTTCTGTTCGTTTTTTTTTTTTTTTTTGAGAATTTTCATGCATATAATTTTTTTGTTCTGCTTTTTTGTCTTTGCTAAAAAGTTAAGTTGCCATAAAAAGTTTCTGCTCTGCAAAATGTTGACAAAGGCAACCAGTCGATGATGTGGGTTTGACAACTTGGAACAAAGCAAAGTGTACGTATACTGTCAGTTATATTATTAAAAATTAATGCAGTCGTATTTTATTTAAAACACATTTTATTATTTAAGGTCCTATTATTTTTGAGTTTGAAGAGTAGAATATAAAGTTAAGAGAGCTCAAAGACGAAAATATTATTTTACATTGTATTAAACGAGTAAGATTTATTTTGAGGATAGAATATTTATTTTTACGAACATTAGCAATAAATGAGAGTTTTTCAGTTTACATATTGCTTTCCTATATATGTTTCACCGATTTAGCTATAAACCGCACAACTTTGTTCCGATATCTTCTAAGATATTTATAGTGAAAATTTGTATAGAATATTTATTCCTTTGTATATTACCTTCATGCATCAATTCCAAAAAAGAATGAAGAAAATTCTCTACTTCGACAGCGAAATTTTAGATTTCTTACACCATTACATTTTAGTATTCAAAATTCACAATATGTTCATTATTTCTTGGACAACATTTTCAAACAAAACTTCATATAACGTACTAACGTTTAAGCTGCACAAGTTCGATAACACTTTAGTATGCAAGTTTTTTCTTTGTAGAAAAGGATAATCGAAAAAGTCTTAAATTTTTCTGTTCAAAACTATTTCAACGTATTTTCATAACAAAAATTAGCCACCGCCATATCTAAATCCTAGGAACCAACAGGGATATCAAATTTTAGGATTCAAGCTCTTTCCATTCACTAAAAAGTAAATGCATTCAAAAATCCACCTACTTCTCTCAAAACCATATACTAATAGTGGGCTCCATATCAAATCAAGAATTCTAGCTCTGTCCTAAGACCCAATACCAAATTTATTACCATCCTCCTTAACTTTATTCTATACACCAATGGTGACCTCGATACAAAATTTCAGAATTTCATCTTTATCCAAACACTCAATTGTACATTGTGTGTTATTTTGCAATTTTTGTACGTTCATAATACGTACAGTACACTACCGCCTTCTCTCAACTACAACCGATATCAAGTTCAGTATCATTTAGTACATTTTGACAAATATAGTACACATTTCCAAACCACTGCCATATCTTAAACACAGGTACCAGCCGTAATCTAGGTATAAAATAGCAGATTTTTAATATTAATACTAAATTTAGTACCATTTAGTAGTTGTCATATAATAATAGTACACATTTTCACAACCATTACCATATCTCAATTCCACATACCAAGAGAGACCTCAATAAATAAAATTTGAGGATTCCAGCATTATCCCTTAACCTTATACCAAATTTAGTACCATTATAGTACACAATGCAATCTGTACAATAATAGTACACATTTCCGAAACCACCTCCATTTCTTAAAAATTTCATAATTGCAGCTCTATCCTTTAACCCAACACAAAATTTAGTACACATTTTAAAAACCACCTGCATATCTCAAGTCCGAATACCAACAGAGACCTCAATTTCAAACTTCAGGACTTTAGCTCTATTCAAGATATGAACAGAAATCCCCATATCAAATTTCAGGATTCCATCCCTATCGCTTCACCTAAAACTCAATTTAGTACCACATAGTACTTTTCGAACAATTATAGTACACATTTCCAAAATCACATCCATATCTCAATCCCAGATACCAAAATAGATACTTCAATATCAAATTTGAGGATTTCAGCCCTATCCCTCCACCCAATACCAAATATAGTATCTTACAGTATTTTTCGTACAAATATAATACACTTTTCCAAAACCACTATTATATCTCAATTCCAGATACCAACAGAGACCTCAATATTTACTTATCTCCAATATCAGATTTGAAAATTGCAGTCCTATCCTATTGGATGAAACTATACCATATTTATTACTTTTCGTACAAATATAGGACGCATTTCAAAACCACTGCCAAGTCGCAAACACAGATGCCATCAGTTATCAAATTTCAGATTTTTATATCCCTTCACTCAATAACAAATACAGTACGATTCACTACGTTTCATAAAATTGTAGTAAACATTTCAAAAACCATCTCCATATCTTTATTACAGGCACAAACAGTGGCATCCGTATTAAATTTCAGTATTTTATATCTATTGCTTCACCCAATTCCAAATGTAGTACCATTTAATATTTAGTAATAACAATTATAGTACAGATTTATAAAACTATCTCAATTCCCGATACCAACAGATACCTCAATATCAAAATTAAGACCCTATCCCTTCACCCAATACAAATTTAGTACCATTTACTACTTTTCGTACAATTATAGGACACATTTCCTATCACCGCCAAATCTCAAAACCAACAAAAATGTTAGAATTCTATCCCTAACCCTTCACCCAATACCAAATTTTGTAACATTCCGTACTTTTCGAACAATTACAGTACACATTTCTAAAACCACCTCTATATCTCAATCCGAGATACCACCAGAGACGTCAATAACAAATTTAAGGATTACATCCCTATCCCTTGACCCAATGCCAAATTTAGTACTATTCAATTTTTCCAAACCACTTCCATATCTCAATCCCAGTTACCAACAGAGAGGTTAATTTAAAATTTGAAGTTTTCAGCCCTATTTCATCACCCAATTCCCAATTTAATACTTCTTAGTACTTTTCGAACAATTATACAACACCTTAACAACATCCATATCTCAATTCCAAATACCAGCAGAGCTCCCAAGGTAAAATTTAAGAACGCTAGCCCTTACCTTGTACCCAATGCCAAATTTAGTACTATTCGGTACCTTTTGTACAAAGATAGGATGCACTTCAAAGTCAACGCCAAATCTCAAACACAGATACCATGAGTAATCAAAATATCAAATTTTAGAATTTTATCTCTATCCCTTCACCCAATAATGAATATAGTACGATTAAGTACTTTTCCATGTTACAACAGAGACTTCAAAATCAAATTTGGGGATTCCAGCCAAATTTCAGATTTTAAGCATTATATTTTAACCTAACACCAAATTGTGCAAAATATAGTACTATTTAGTACCGTTCGTGCCCTAGTAGTACATATTTCCTAAACTACCTCTTTATCACAGGTTCCCCAGTAAAAAATTTCATCTTCATCCTTTCAAATTTAGACGCACTTTTCCAAATTTAGTACCATTTAGTATACTACACACGCATAGTGGACATTTCCAATAGTACCTTTATACATCAAACTTATTTTCCAACCTTGATTCTTATACAATGTGAAAAGTTTTAAGTTTATTCGTCCAAATTGTAACATTTTAGAAGTTTAGTACCACTTCCAGAAACCCTTTGGTATTGGTAAAATTTCCTCAGAATTCCTTTCGTACAACACAAATTATTCAATTTTTATTACATTTCAGGACTTTACCATACCTTATCGCGCTTCTACGGACTGCCGCTTGTGCAAAATTTCAAGATTCTCGCCTCAGCCGTTTCGGCTGGGCGTTGATTCTCATTCAGTCAGACCGTTATTTCACTACTATTTAATAGATGAATTTGTAGAAAATTTTGACTTGTTATGATCACTTTTTAGGGGGGTTTTAACCATATTTTAAAAAAGAGGGTTACTTTTTCCGATAATATTCCTTGTGCTTTAAACTGTAATATTTCCAAAGACACTATACGTCTAAAATTAAGGAATTTCAAGGGATCTTTATCCGAAATTATCAAGAAATGTGTTGTCCCCTCTATTTAGGATACTTTGCGATGTAAACTTACAAAACGCCTATGCATGCCTCTTCCTTTTCTAACCCCTACTTTCATAATCACTCGGATTTTTTCCTGCAATATTTCTTTTTGTTGTGCCATGTAATTATAATTTTTATTAAATTTCCTTTAAATTAATATTTATAGGAGTTGATGTTATAAATTTCCTTTTCCGAACACAAATTTCTATAAACAGGATGCGGGCCCGTTGTGCAGGCACTTGTTGGTTTTCCAGGCCGGTATATGGGTATTTGATACCAATTCGTAAACGAATAATCACAAGCCAAGTACAGTTCATTGGTACCATTTGTGGCAGTTTGCTGCAAAATAGCACAACCAACTTCGTTAGCACGTTCCTGGGCGAACATTGCAAAATGGCCTATCAAAGGGGCCCTAAAAAAAAAATTTACATTATTTTTATTATTCTCTGAAGACAAATTCGAATCTTACCCCTCTGGTCGTTTGGTTAAATTGAAAATATCATTCATTGTCATATATTTGTTTTCTTCGAACCAATGGGTAATTAGAAATTTCACAATCCACTCCGTGGTTAGATTCAAATTCTCCCAGAACAAATATGCCAAATTCTGTCCGACATAACGATAGCGTGGTGTTGGACGGCACTTGTCATGTTTCATTTGACACTGCAGCAGATTCAACATTGACAAATATTCAAATTCCATATTCCATTTCATTGAGGCCATACGCTTGGCCGGATCGAAACCTTTCACATTGCCACCGGCCAATTTATTGCGATAACTATTGTGAATTTGCAATATGAAGTTACGCATTTTTTGTGTCATTGTAATGAACTTTGCATTGGCATAACAATTTTTGGAAAAGTTCTGAAAATTCGCAGACAAATGACAATTGTTGATTTAGAATGTTGGACCATCTTTAATTTACTTACCCAAGTGCTATTGCATGCAATGTGTTCCTTGCAATAATCGCAAGGATTGCCACCAGTTGTCCCGAATCTCGAATATGTCTTTACAGCAAAAATACATTTTGCGCAAAGAGCTAAGGTAATGTACAGATGTACTTTGGAAATCATAGTGTCACCAAATTTGTAAAAATTATTGTTAAAATCTACTAAAACCATGTTTGAACGCCAAACATTTATTTTTTATGACTTTTCGTGATTCACGACACCGAACATATTAATAGTGAGAAGCAAGTGATTTCTGTTATATGACCAGAGGGGTAAGAATCGCTTCATCTTGGGAAAAGAGCTAAGGCTTGCACAACTGGTCTTTATTATGATTAAAAAAATGTTTCTTCAAAACGGTACATCTATAACACCTACTACTACAAATATTACTTATATAGACCTGAATAAAAACTCGTGGTAATTCTAACGGTAGAAAAAATACCAACGACTAGAAACACCTGTTTAAAGGGTTTATAGTATGCCATGGGTCTGAAACGTTCTTTGGAGTTTGCAACACAACGTTCTTTTTGTGTTTCTCTCACCTAATCGGTGTTATTCCTGTTTTATATGCCAAATGATCATGAAGGGTTTTTTACTATACAATACGTTAATTTCCCATCCTGAATTCCAAGTGTTATTGGCTTTGTCGTCTGAAGTAAAGGACAAGACTTGTACGAAAATCCTTTAATCCAGGCTTCAAAGTGGCATAAATTACTCAGTCCGAGGAATCATTCCTCACCGACTATCATATTGGCCTCCATAATCGGCCGTCTGACACTGTAGTTATTAGAGGCTTTTCATGATCACTATACCTATATTCTCTGCCCTTATCGGACATGTTTCTTATCAGAAAAAATTGTTGGGGTCGCCCATGTTCACTTGTTGGTCTGAATGGTTCGAATGATTTCCTTGCTCTAAAAATTTCTTATCCTATTACTTTATAAAACTTATATCGAGTTCGAAGTTAGAAAAATATCGTACGCTCGGCGTGATTCCAGAATTGTGTAAAAAAGTATATATCTCATATAACGTTTAGAGAGAGTGTAGAAACCTCACATAACGTGGTATTTCTATCATACAGGGTGAGATAACAAAAATTGCACAAAAATCAAACACCATAATTTTTAAGTTTTTTTTTTTAATTTTATTGTTGGAAATAACATCAAATTATAGAATATGTTTAGATTTGTTTGAATTGGTCACCTTTGGCACGAATGAAACATTCACACGCTGCCCGAATGTTGCTCTGCGGTATTTTAGCCCATTTCACGCGAAGGGCTCGCTTGAGGTGATCGACGCTCTGGTATTTTTTAGTGCTAAACTTGCTTTCCAAAATACTCCAGTTACAATAGTCCAACGGATTGGTATCCGGAGATTTTGGTGGCCATTGTGCTCTAGAAAAGAAGCGAGGAACTTCATTTTGTAACCATTCTTGGGTGGCGCGTGCTGAGTGCGATGGTGCTGAGTCCTGTTGGAATATCCAAGGGTTAATATACCTTCTAGAATATTTTCGCGATAATATTCGGCATTTATTCTGATGCCACGGTCGATTAATACGAGCGGAGAGCGACCATAGGCTGTTATGGCGGCCCACACCATCACCATGGCCGGCGCTTGAGTTCTGGTGGCCAACCGAAGATGCACATTTTCAGCTGAACTCTTTGGTTACTTGCCAAAGATCATTTTGTTTGTTTACAAACTGCTGGACAACGAATGTTTTCTCGTCGGAGAAAACAAAATTCGGCAGTTCACCACTTTCGGCCAAGCGAAGCAACTCTTTAGCTCTTTTGAGTCTATTTTCTTTCTGTTGCGGTGCAAGTTCTAACAATGTTTGGAATTTCAATGGCTTTACCCGGAGATCTTTTTTTAATATTTGCCGAATGGAATATTGCGATATGTTCAGCGCACGAGCCATTTTTCTGCCACTGTGGCAAATATCAGACTTAATGACCTCAATTTTGGTACATCCGACCAAATTTAGTCTAGAAGCAAGTACATATTTTGTAATATACATTCGACAACAATGTTATTTGGTGCCAGATATATTATTGAGCTCGTAAATATGTTTCCCAAATTTTATGGAGAACGGCTAAGATTTGGATAGAGCTCCCACACATATCCCTAATCCGATTTCAGGTATATTGTGCAAATAATGGCTAATATTAGCCCAAATGAAGTGGATTCCGGGATGTACATTTCCACTTTGTGGAACTCGGCTCCGATAATTTTTTTTTATATAATCCATCTCGAAGTGATATCATGCACCCTATAGCAATGTTATTTGGTATTAAAGATTAAAATATGTTCGTCAAATTTAGTGAAAATCGATTTAGAATTGGATATATCTCCCATACCAAATTATAACTCCTTCAAGGCCAAATGTTGATAGGTGGTATGATCTACTTCAAATAAATTCTTTTATTACGGAGCTCTACTAAATATGCATGGTGGTGTAGGGTATCATATAGTCGGGCCCGCCCGAGTTTTCCTTACTGGTTTCCAATTTTCAATAATTAAGACATAACGTCTTTTTGTAGAAAATCCGCAATTTTTGCTTCGATAAATTGGTCTTGCAAAAATTCTGACAGTGTTCCGAGTCTAGAGCGAATCACAGCATCCATACATATCTGTGTGAATTCAGTACCGGTTTGATCATATAAGACTTCAGTTGATCCCATGTTCTTCCTGCGATTAAAGTATTAACCAATACTGGGAAATAATTATTTTCTTTGTTCGTTACATCAACACTGACTGACACAGCGACGAACAATGAAGCTATTAATGTTTTTTGAGCAAAAATATTCCCCTCTGAATGTGTGTGTGTGCGCCAACAAACAAATGCCTCGGCGAACAACAGTAACAACCTTGAACAAGTGTAAACTTTTATCAACAATTTCATATCTTTTAATAAAGAACAAATGGAATGCAAATTCCATCAGATAAGTGCGACCGCCAAAAAAGCGAACATTCTTAATCAGAGAGGGAGTTTTATGTGTTTTCGTTTTTCCTGTGTCACTTTTTTTGGTTGGTTGGTTGGTTGTCAGCTTGTTTGGGGAATAGCAAAACAAATTTCATTACATCGTAAGGGGGTGTGTGTGTTTGGAAATATAAAAAGGAATTCACAGAATCATTACGACTCATTTGTATGGTGTAACAAGAGAGAGTGAACAAAGAAAAAAAACAACAACAACAAACAAACAGGAGCAGCAAGTGCCTTCTATTCCCCTTTGGATAAGAGATGTCAAAGTACTTGGGAATATATAAGCACAGTGGTATGATTTGTGCCAGGAAATGTGACAAAAATATTTATTTACCAAAACTCGTTTGATAACTAAGGTAGAGGGTCATTCCTGTAGACGCTCTTTTAGTACCTAATTCCCCAAAACTTGTTTTGTGTACGTTTTAATGGAAAAACTGCAATCATCTTCAGACTGCTGTCATTTTAAGCCACTCCTCCGACAGCTGTTAAAATTATTCCAGTAACAGCTCACTATATTGTTTACAAGCGTACAAAAGCATTTTGGTGAGAGTTTTCCAGAAAAAAAGTTTTTCGTTATGCAATTCAAGAGTGATAGTGGGATTTCTTTATATTTGGCTGGGAACTCACAAGTGGCTATCGTTAGAACACTCCAAAATTTAAATAAGAATAAATCCTTTGTGTCTCGTATCATCGCTCGTTACCGTGCTACTGGGAGCGTAGCCCGATGTCAAGGAAGTGGAGGGAAAAAACAGCAACAACAGCATAAATGGTACGAAAAGTAAAGAAGCGACTTGATTTAAACCTGCAGTGGCCAAAAAATGCCTTGTGACCTGAACATATCACAATATTCCATTCGGCAAATATTGAAAAATGAACTCGGGGTAAAGCCATTGAAATTCCAAAAAGTGTAAGAACTTACACCGCAACAGAAAAAAAATAGACTCAAAAGAGCTAAAGGGTTGTTTCGCTTGGCCGAAAGTGGTGAACTGCCGAATTTTGTTTTCTCCGATGAGATAACAATCGTTGTCCAGCAGTTTGTACTTACTTGCCAACGAGGTTACTTGCCAAAGAGGTCAGCTGAAAATGTGCACCTTCGGTTGGCCCCCAGAACTCAAGCGCCGGCCATTGTGATGGTGTGGGCCGCCATAATAGCCAATGGTCGCTCTCCGCTCGTATTGATCGACAGGGCATCAGAATAAATACCGAATATTATCGTCAAAATATACTGGAGGGTGTATTAAAACCTAGGGCACGCGAACATTTTGGCCACAGACCTTGGACATTCCAACAGGAACATCGCACTCAGCACGCGCCACCCAAGAGTGGTTACAAAATTAGGTTCTTCATTTCCTCCGGATGCCAATGCCTTGGATTATTGTGTCTGAAGTATTTTGGAGAGCAAGGTCGGCACTAAAAAATACCAAAGTGTCGATCACCTCAAGAAAGCGCTTCGCCGGGAATGGGCCAAAATACCGCAGAGCAACATTCGGGCAGTGTGTGACGGTTTCATTTGCCGTTTGAAGGCCATAATTCGTGCCAAGGGTGACCAATTCTAACAAATTTAAACATATTCTAAAAATTGATGCTATTTCCGACATTTTATGCTGTCATTCAATAAAATAAAAAGAAAACAGCTTTAAGTTCGGTCGGGCCGAACTTTGAATACCCTCCACCATTTGGTAAAAATTTGGCAATTTTCAAAACAATAAAATCCGTTATAAATTCTGTTAAAATCTTAAAAATACAGAACTTAGCCTTATATTAGGTACCGTGGGGGTTATAAAACGTGGACCTGCATAGACAATTTTCTGTCATAGGCTGTAATATCCATTACGAACTTTAAATACCAAATTTGAAATAGTTCGCTGAAACAACAAAATACCGAATATCGGGAGGCACAGTTATATGGGGGATATACGAAGAAATGGACCTGCACAGACAATTTTCTGTCATAGGCTCTAGTATCTATTACGAAATTCAAGTGCGAAATTTGAAACTACTCCGGTAAATAATGTCGCTAAAATCATCAAAATACCGAACATCGGGTGGTGCCGTTATATGGGGGCTTTGCGAAGACGTGGACTTACATGGCCTATTTTCATTCTTAGGCTGTAGTATCTATTACGAAATGTAAATACCAAAT